CCGGGACATTAGGCTGCAACGGCGCCTGCTCGCCAAGCCTGATTTGATGCTTGCTGGAGCCCTAGACGAGTCCAGGGCTCATGAAGCCTCCACAAAAGCCGCAGAAACGCTGCAGCGTCCGCTGACTAGCAAAGACAACCCCAAGTCTGCCCCGGTGCACAGAGAAGACGCCGGATCCAGCTCGGAGTCCGAGTCGGATGAGGACGTCTTCCGAACGGAGCACCAGAGAAAGGACACAGGCAGCCCGCGGCGAAGCTGTCCCAGCTGTGGAGGGCACCATGATAGACTGTCCTGCAAATATAGGGAGGCTATCTGCAGGCGTTGCGAGAAAAAAGGGCACTTGGTGCGAGTCTGTAGAGCCATTCTGCCCAGAAAACACCAACCACGTGAGCGCCGCAGCCAACCAGAATCAACGCGCCAGAAACAACCAACGAGAGAAGGCGGCGCGAAAAAACGGCGCGAATTTGAACCTCGAGATGGCCGCAGCATTCACATAGACCAGGCCAGTGCGGAAATCGAGGACAAAGTCAGCACGGTGGTCGAAATCAACGGCAAACCATGCACGATGGAGATCGACACCGGATCAGCTCTCTCCATAATGTCATGGGCGACCCTAAAGACCCTCCTGCCGTCGTTCCGGAAGGACCAGCTCTCCAAACAGAGACTGCGCATCCTAGACTACCAGGGGAACCGAGTCCCCCTTGAGGGCATGGGCACGTTCCGAGTCACCTACAGAGACTACGAAAGAGACCTGCCACTGACCATCGTCACGAAGCAGCTTCCCAGCCTTCTCGGCATGGGGTGGTTCCGAGCCCTCGGCATGGGCTTCACCGGCGTCCACTAGATGCTCAAGTCATTGTTAAAAGACAGTCTCCTGACCGAGTTCCAGGACGTTTTCGGGGACACGTTGGGCAAGTATGTGGGGACCCCTATCTCTCTTAATCTAGACCCCAACGTAGCCCAAATAAGACTCAAGCCGAGACGGGTGCCCTTTGCATTGAAACCAAAGATCGATGCGGAACTGGACAAATTAATTAAACAAGGGATCTTGGTTCCCGTTGACCACGCAAAATGGGAAACCCCCATAGTGACCCCAGTCAAGTCGGACGGCTCAATTAGAATTTGCGCCGACTACAAGTGCACGATCAACAAGGCTTTGCAGCCGAGCGCCTATCCGGTGCCGATCGTGCATCATCTACTACACTCCCTGGGGCCAGGAAAATTTTTTGCCAAACTAGACCTGGCCCAGGCCTATCAACAACTTCCTGTCGACGATGCCACGGCTGAGGCACAGACAATAGTAACCCATAGGGGTGCATTTAAATGCACCAGGCTCCAGTTCGGGGTGAGCGTAGCACCCGGCCTATTTCAAAGCACCATGGAGCGCCTATTGCAAGGGCTTCCCGGAGTGGTGCCATATTTCGATGACGTCCTAGTCAGCGCTCAGGACGAACAACAACTTGGGGACAGAGTTAGAAACGTCCTGTTCAGATTTAGGGAAGCAGGACTAAAATTAAAAAAAAACAAGTGTATGATAGCAGTCCCTTCAGTTGAATTTTTGGGATACAGGGTGGACGGCACAGGCATCCACCCTACCGAAAGCAAGGTGAGAGCTATTAAGAGCGCACCTGCTCCCAAGACCAAAGCAGAGCTCCAAGCCTTCCTTGGACTGCTCAATTTTTACTCAATGTTCCTGAAAGACAAAGCTACCGTTGCAGATTCCCTACACAAGCTATTGGGGAAGAATGTACCATGGGTCTGGGGGAAACCACAAGCAGCCGCATTTGAGGCTGTAAAGAGACTTCTATCGGAAGACAGTTTCCTAATCCAATACAACGCGGCGCTACCGCTTGTATTGGTCTGTGACGCCTCCCCCGTAGGAGTTGGTGCCGTCCTAGGCCATAGACTGCCGAACGGCCTAGAGGTGCCCATTGCGTTTTACTCTCGCACTCTGTCAAGCGCAGAGCGGAACTATAGTCAATTGGACAGAGAGGCTCTGGCTGCAGTTGCGGGGGTTAAAAAGTTCCACGAATACCTTTATGGCCGGCAATTCGAACTTGTGACTGATCACCGGCCCTTGCTAGGACTCTTGGCAGGCGACAGGCCCACCCCCGCTGCTCTTTCCCCACGTTTGACTAGATGGGCTATTTTTCTTTCGGCCTATTCATATCAGCTAGTACACCGACCTGGACGGACCCTGGGTCACGCGGATGCCCTCAGCCGCTGCCCCCTACCTGACTTACTGACCAATCCTACACCAGAGGCCTCCGTCCTGCTACTGGACACATTAATTTTGGGACCTATTTCCTCTGCCGAAGGATCCGGGAGGACCTGGCTGCCCCTACAGCAAGTACTAGCACCTCCCCTGTCTATACACAGATACTCAGATGGCTCTCTTTAAACACACCGGAGATTTTCTTTTCCTTTTATTACCCTTTTACTTTCACTCAATACCCGCTCGGCTTCCGTTCCCTTTGAACACAAAGTCCCATGTTCGGCAACCCCCCCACCCCCTGCTTTCTCTATCCTACCGGTCACGGCTCGGTGGAGGTAGCAGTAGGCAGAGGTGCGGCTAGAGGTTGCTCGAAGAGGTGGAATCAGACTGTCATTCAGGTAGAAAGCCCCCCCCCACACACACACTCGCACTTTCGTTCCCCACTAGGAATTTCCCTATTAAAATTTAAGTGGTACTCACCTATTTTGAAGCAGCTGTTGAGTCCAACACTCAAAAACTCCCTTTACTACCTGAGGCCGCCCGGGCAGGGTCCCTGGATTTTCCCCTGGACAAAATGGTCCGTGCCGGCTGGGTTGGATCTCCGGGCCCCGTCTGGTAGCTGGGTTGGCTGGGAGTCCCTTCGTGGTTGCCAATATTATTGGATTTTTCCAAGGCTTCTCCTTCGGGTTCGAATTTCCCGGCTGGGAGAGCATCGCTCACATGGTGGAGCGTTATCCGCGTAGCAAAAGAAATTGAGATGGAAGCGAGCTGTGTGAAGTCCGATCTAGCCATGGCGAGGACCAGCGTTCCTGGGTGAGCTGACATCGATATGAGGTAAGCATACATTTTTATACTCTATTTTACAATGGAAGTTCTTTGTTTTTGTTTTTGTTTTTCTTTTGTGTGTGTTCTCGGCCTAGTCAGGTAATGTTCCATTCTCCAGCTCCAGCCTTGCCCCAGAGCTCACCACCTGCCTCAACTACCTTCGCGCCTTGGGGGGGGGAGACACAGCGTGACTTGGCCGCCTTTTCACCAAGAAGCCTCCAGCCACCGGCAGTTGTTTTTGGCTGCCTTCTGAGCAGCTCTGCTGCAACCTTGTCCCTCTGGCTGCTGCCATTCTCCTGGCTGGGTCCGGCCGCAAGCGGCACCGGCAGTCGATGGGGTGCACATGCGCGCTGCCGCCCTGTTCTGGCTCCGCACGTGCACCCCATTGCCTGCTGGTGCCACTTGTGGCCGGACCCAGCCAGGAGAACGTCAGCAGCTGAAGGGACGGCATCGCAGCAGAGCTGCTCAGAAGGCAGGTGCTGGCCGCAGTCTTTAAGAGATCCTGGGAGGGAGCGGGTGACCATAACGGGACAGACTGCGGTCGGTGGCTGCCTTCTGAGCAGCTCCGCTGTGAAGGGAGGGAGAAAAGTTTGGCTTCTCTCTGCCGCAGCATTCAACATGGCTGCTTCTCGCCTCCTTCTTAGGCTCATACACACAGAGCAAACATGAGAAGGAGGCGAGAAGCAGCTAGGTTGAACGCTAGAAGACTTGGCCAGCTGAACTTTTCTGTCAGTTCTGTGGGCGTGGCCTGGTGGGTTGCTGTGAGTGATGTCAAGTTGGCCATGCCCACTCAGTCACATGACCCCCCCTCCCCCAGCAAGCCACACTACCAAGCCATGCCCACAAAACTGGTAGGGGTGAACTGATACTGGGTGACTTTGGGCCAATCAACAGGAGACAGTGAGTTCTAGTCCTGCCTTAGGCATGAAAGCATGCTGGGTGACTTTGGGCGCCTTAGGTGCAATCCCAAAACAACTGGAGCACCCTTTGAACACCGTCAGTGGCATTGACAGATTCACCATCAGTCAATTGCAGAAGGCAGCTTTGCTTGGAACAGCTTCCATCCTCTGTCGATATCTGTAACGCCATCCAATAGATCTGATGGATTACATCCCAGAGTTCTAATGGGGCTGGCAGATGTTATCTCAGGGCCACTGTACCACATCTTCCAAAAATCCTGGAGCACTGGGGAACTACCATAGGACTGGAAAAGAGCTGAAGTGGTTCCCATCCTCAAAAGAGGGAGAAAAAAAATAAATAAACCCAGGAAACTAAAGGCCAATCAGCCTAACATCAATACCCAGAAGATACTGGAAAAATAATTTTAAACGATATCTAGAAACGGGTTTGTTAAAAGCAGATCATGCCAAACCAGCCTCATTTCATTCTTGGACAAAATGGCCCAATTAGTAGACCAGCAAAATGCTGTGGACATAGTTTATATGGCCCATGATAGAAAGAAGCACCTTCCAGGGTGACCCAGATGGAGAAGGAGAATATCCCGAAAGAACCCTTCGCACAACATCTGTTGCCCATCTGGCAGCCTTGGGACAACTTCTAAATATTTTTCGGAAGACCCAATGCTAAAGTGGATGAGTGATGACGCAAAAGGAGTGTGCGTATACATTTGCGTGCTGCATTCATTGCACACCTGAATCCGGTATCATAGATTTAAGTAGAGTGTCAGCATCTCAGCGCTAACATAGAAAAGGGAGATAAAGCCTGAACTTTTGCCTGCTAAATCCCTTTGAAGCTCGGTCTCCTTGGAAATGAAGAGGGGGGAAACATTCCTGTGAACTGACGAGAAAAGGAGTCAGGAGAGTGACTTGGAAGATAGCCAATGAGAAGCAGAGAATTGGGGATCGGAAAGGGAGGGATTGGGGGGCAAAGGTCAGTCCTGACCGCACGAGCCATGATCCGGTTGCTGTACTCGAATAAAGAGAAAATTTCCTTAAAGATTGGCAGTTTGGAAATTCATTTATTCTGAGATAGCATCAAAGTCTGACATAGAGAATATTACATAAATGATCTTCTGTCTGTTCCCTGACTTGGTTAAAATAGTGTGTGTGTGTGTGTGTGTGTGTGTGTGTGTTGTTGCACACATGACAACACACAACTGGGTGGCTAATACATTCCAATGAAGAATATTATAGGTAGTCCTCGACTTACAACCAGTTAAATCCAAAATTTCCATAGCTGAGCAAGGCAGTTGTCAAATGAGTTTTGCCTCATTATACAACCTTTCCTGCCATAGTTGTTAAGTGAATCACTGCAATTGTTACAGTAGCCACATGGTTGTTAAGTGAATCTGGTTTTCTGGTTTCCTCAGAAGGTCGCAAAGGGGGATCACGTGACCCCGGCACACTGCAACCGTCATAAATGTGAGGCAGTTGCCAAGCGTCTGAATTTTGACCATGCGGATGTTGCAACGGTCGTAAGTCAGTCTCTTTTTTCAGTGCCGTCGTAACTTTGAACGGTCACTAAACGAAAGGTCGTAAGGCGAGGGCTCCCTCTACCTTCAAATGAAGAATATTAAATCATGACTTTTCTGTCCTTTCCCGAGTTGGTTAGAAGATGTGGGTGTAAAAGTGAAACAATCTTGGAAAAGTTATTCCTTCTCTGTTATTCTTTTCTTGCTTCCATATGGCAGAAATCTAGGTTGCCCAGGGTCGGCATCTGCAACCTGTCAGCCCTGGTGTGCCTGGCGACCCAGACCTGACACAATCACCAAGGGGGGGGGGACTGGATAGACCGGGCTGAAGCCATGCAAGCCGGAACCTTACATTTTCTAGGAAGGCCCCGCGGGTTAGATCTGACCACATCATGGCCTGGATGCGGCCAACGGGCCTCGTGATCGACACCCCTGGTATATAGAGAGAAGAGCAATGGAGAGAGCATTCAGCCCTGTGCTAACTGTAGAGGTATCTGATGTGATTTTTGTGTGATTTTGAGTGTGCTTTTCCATGTGGTTTTTCCTGCCTTCACCTCAGGAAAGTTAGCGGTCAAATTTAAAGTGGAAATATTTAGCTGGTCAGTCCCAACAGCCTCTCGCTGAATTCCCACAGCTTCTTAGCCAGTTGGTCATCGCAGGCCTGTGGCGAGGGCACCTTCGCCCGGCAGTCCACGAAATACCGCCCGCTCAGCCTCTCGATGCCCTCCTCGGTGGCGCAGTAGATGGAGGTCTGAGCCCCAGCTTCAGAATTTCGGATGAACAGCCTCACGAACCAAACCAACCAAAGTGACCACCAGGGATAGGAGCGAGCAATTTCGGTTTTAACAATTCCTGAAATCGAAGGCAGAGAGAATATGCCAGGGATGGAGCGTGGCACTCTTTGGACAACAGGTTTCTTGCAGACGTTTCATTACTCAACTAGGTAGCATCATCAGTGCTAGAAGGGAGGGGGTTTGCAGGGAAGAGGGGCAGGAGGAGGAGGAGGAGGAGGACAGGAAGGGAGGAGGAGGAGTAAGAGAAGGAGGAGAAGCAGGAGAAGAAGCAGAGGAGGTGAAGGAGGAGGAAGCAAGGAAGGAACGGAAAAGGCAGAAGAGGAGTAAGAGACTGGGGGAAACCTCAGGGGGTTGGACTAGAAGACCTCCAAAGGCCCCTCCCACCCTAACATTATAGGATTCTGGACCCGGAAGGGAGGAGACGTCTCCCTTCCCAGCTGAGCTCTCAGAGGGGGTTGAGGGAGCCTCAGTGGGAGAGAAATGCCTGGCAGAGCCCCAAACGGACCTGGGGGGGGGCTCCATCTGGGGTGTCTTGGAGCCAGACTTCCACTTACCTGGATGAACCGCGTAGCAGGTGACGTTGGTTCCTTCCAGCCGCTTGGCCAACTCTCTGGCATGGAGCATATTGGCTAGTTTGCTGTTGGCGTATGATTGTCCGCCCTTTATCAGGCATTTGGTCGGTTTGTTGAAGGTCCGAAAGTCGATCTTCCCATACATGTGTGCACTCGAGGACAGAATTACGATCCTGCTCGGGGCGCAGCGCTTCAGCCGGTCCAGGAGCAGGTGGGTCAGCAGGAAGTGGGCCAAGTGGTTGACCTGGAAGGCCTGGTCAAAGCCATCGGAGGTTTGACCATCCTTAAGGACCCCTGCCAGAAAAGTAAGCGGATTACAGGCAGTCCTCGGTTTACAACGGGCCACTTCGTGATCATTCGAAGTTGCAAGAGATACCCAAAACGTTTTATCACCCAGTTCCCTCCGGGGTCACATGGCCGCACTTTAATCACTTGGCAACTGGCCTTAACTTAGCAATGTGTCCCGCAGTCATGTGACCACAATTTACAACATTTTAGTCAAAAAACAGAGTTTCTTCCACTTTTCAGCAAAAACACCCTGTAGTGAACAAATGATTCACTTAATGACCGCCACAACAAAGATCTTGAAATCATAGGGGTCACAGGGATGACCTGCTTTATAATCGTCATGCCTTACAACCATAATAGGCAGGCAACAGGCTTTTTACGTCAGCTAAGTCAGTTTGGTTTAGTGGTTAAGCAGGAGGCTATGAGTTCAAATCCTGCCTGAAAAGTGACTGCGTGACTTTGGGGCAATCACCAGGAGATGGTGAGTTCCAGCTCCACCTTAAGCACAAAAGCCAGCTGGGTGACTTTGGGCCAGTCTCTCTCTCACTTTCAGCCCACCCCACCTCACAGGGCTGTTGTTTTGAGAAAAATAGGAGGAGATAGTTCCACTGGTGCTGTTTGCCTTCAGTTATTCGTAATAATAATAATAAAGGCAGTATACGAAAAATGAACTACCAGAAATAGGAGAGAGCCGCTTCTCAAGTTATGCCAAGTCCCCGAAGAGAGAGAAATACTGGAGATGGCCAGAATCTTCCTTCCCTCTCTGGAGACCCCGGAGAGGGTCTGCTCTGCCCCCACCTGCGTTGTTGATGAGGATGTCCAGACGGGGCTCCGATTCTAAGAAGCTCTGCGCAAAAGCTCGGACGGAGTTCAGGCTGCCCAGATCCAGGATCATCAGGATCACCTCCGAGTTCCCACTTTCCTGGAAAAGAAGCGGAAGGAATCCTGTTCCTGTGTTGCTGACTATCTTGCCTACTATGCATATGGATGTTAAATATATTTATTTATATAAAACTACAGGTTCATGTCAGTGTCTCTGATTTCCTTTGGACAGTTGTTGCGCAGTTCCCTGACCCAGATCCAACAAAACCACTTCCAGGAAAGCGGCTGCCACGAAAAATATGGAGCCCCCTGAATAGGACCAGGACAGGCGGTGACAGAATTCAAGGCAAAGCTCTTTAAGTGGGGAACGGCCGAGAGTCCATAATGCAACTGAGGCGCATTGGAACTGTTGAGATATTAAATGGAGTAGCTGGAACAGTAAAGTGTACAGTGGTAGCTGACTGGTTGGAGAGTTCTGGCCCTGCATGAGGCAATCTGCACTATGATTGGTTGCTGTGGGTGTAAAGGGGGAGTTTCCCTTTTTTCCCGCCTTTTTCTTCTGTGGGCTCTGTTTGCTGTTTGATTTACCTCATGAATGTTCCTGTGTTGCTGACTATCTTGTGTTCTTTCTTTCTGGATGATGAGAAAGACAGATGTAAATTTGAATGTGTGTGTATGTCTATGTGTATATACATATACATATATATCTATTTTCTTATACATATATACTGTGCACACACACACACGTATATGTATATATGTATGCATGTATGTATTTATACACACACACACACACACACACACACACACAGACAGCTGGGCAGCTGCTGCGCAATTCCTGGACAGCAACACACAATAACAATTTAGTCCAAAAATGTCTCCTTAGGCAGCTGGGATGATCTCATCACAGCGATCACAGATGCAGTTAGATGATTAGCTTCCCTCAGATATCGAATTATAACATCTATCCATTGCGAGTCTACGGCGCCATATTTAGCAATAGCCCTTAGACTTAGATACCGCCTCACAGTCCCTGTCCAGCCCTCTCTGAGCGGTTTATAGAGTCAGGCCCCAACAATCCGGCTCCTCATTTTACCCACCTCGGAAGGAAGTTACTATGATTTTACTCTAACATTTTGTCTCGTCTATTGTATTGTCCACCTATTATATATACAGGTAGTCCTTGACTTATATGAATAATTGAACCCCAAATATCTGTTGCTAAGGGAGACAACTGTTAAGTGAATTTTGCCCTATTTTACAACCTTTCTTCCCACAGTTGTTAAGTGAATGACTGCAGTCAAGTTAATAACATGGTTCTTAAGTGAATCTAGCTTCCCTATTGACTTTGCTTGTCACAGGTCACAAAAGATGATTGCATGATTCCAGGATACTGAAACCGTCATAAATGTGAGTCATTTGCCAAGTATCTGAATTTTGATCCCGAGACCTTTGGGATGCTGCAATGGTCATAAATGTGAAAAAGGGTCATAAGTGCCTTCAAACTTCAACAGTCACTAAATGAATGTTGTAAATTGAGGATTACCTGTATAATATCAATCCCGTTGTGACTCTATGGGGGCCATATTATGGTGATTTTATCATGGTTTTACAATAACTTAATATTTTATCTCACCTTTTGTACTGTCCACTGATTTGATATACATGTATTTGTTGACACTTTATTTAAACATACATTTGCATTTGTAAATATAGTGTGTTTTATCCGTGTTGCGTATCAGGGATCGCATGATCTCTTTAGATGCCACACGCTAAATAAATGAATAAAAACCATCAGGAAAACGCCTGAATATCAGAAGAATGGAGGGACGGAGAGAACCGCACGTCTGAGGCTTACCCGTCTGATGTCGTACACGGCGGATTCTCCTCTCGCTTTGTCGCGGCATGCCAGGACAACACGGGCGCCTCTCCGGGCCAGATTCACCGCTGTGGCCTTCCCGATCCCTGCATTTCCCCCTAGGAAAGGGCAGAGAAAGGATCCATGGAGATTGCCCAGCCTTTGATGGGGATCCAGGAGTTGGGACTGCATCTGTGTGCCTGCAGTTTTTGTGGCGTTACACAGTGAAGCATTTGTTTGGCAGTGTTTCTCAACCTTGGAAACTTTATGATGGCTGGACTTCAACTCCCAGAATTAAAAGAATGCAACTCTGCAACAGAGGAATTATCGAGCCCGTCATCTGCACCTCCAGAACTGTCTGGTTTGGCACAGCAGCGACACAGGGCAGGTGCAGACTTCAACGGATAGTGAGGACTGCAGAAAAAACCAATCACAACCAGCCTATCTTGCCTTAAGGACCTGTGCGCTGCACGGGTGAGAAGGCAGGCTGAGAAAATATCTACAGACCCCTCACATCCTGGACATGAACTCTTTCAACTCCTCCCCTCAGGATGCCGCTATAGAGCATTGCATGCCAAAACAACCAGATACAGTCGTTGCCCCCCATTCCCCCCCCATCCCCGTACCATCACTCAGCTGAACACCTAATTCCCACAGCACTCTCTGATTCCTGATCTTTTCTCATCTTTCCTACTATCTTCCCCTATTGCTTTCTTATGATTTATCCATTGTTTGTAACTTATGATTAGTGATTGTAACTATGATTATGACCTATGCCCTATTATTAGCTTATTCTATTCTATTCTATTCTATTCTATTCTATTCTATTCTATTCTATTCTATTCTATTCTATTCTATTCTATTCCTATTCCATTCCGTTCAAAAGGCACCCCAGAGGTCTTCTAGTCCAACCCCCTGCTTCAGCAGGAAAGACCCTATATCATTTCAGACAAATAGTTGTCCAGTCTCTTTTTCAAAGCCTCCAGTGATGGAGCACCCACAGCCTCTGAAGGTGAGCTGTTCCATTGGTTGACTGCTCTCACCATTAGGAAAGTTCTCTTTAGTCCTAGGTTGCTTCTCCCCTCGGTTAGTTTCCATCCATTGTTTCTTCTGCTGCCTTTTTCCTGCTTTGGAAAACAGTTTGGCCCCCTCGTCTTTGTAGGAGCCCCTCAAATATCGGAACAGTGCTATCGTGTCCCCCCCAGTCCTTCTTTTCATGAAACTAGACACACTCAATTCCTGTAACTGTTCTTCATGCGTTTTAGCCTCCAGCCCCCTAATCATCTTTGCTGCTCTTCCCTGCACTCTTTCCAAAATCTCAGCATCTTTTTTGTATTGTGGTGATCACACCTGGATGCAATATTCCAAGTGTGGTTTTACTAAGGCTTTGTACAGCAGTACTAGAACTTCCTGTGATCTTGATTCAATCTCTCTATTAATGCAGCCTAGGACTGCGTTGGCTTTTTTGGCAGCTGGTGTGCGTTGTTGGCTCCCGTTTAAGGGATTGTCCACTGGGACTCTAAGATCCCTCTTGCGGCTACTGGCATTAAGCCAGTTCCACCTAGTCTACACCTATACAGTCGGTTTCTCCTACCTTGCTTTTATCTACATTCAATTTTGTTTTGTTTGTTAATTGCCTAGCAAAAAGTCCATCTGTTTCTTCTGCTTGGTTGGGTGCCCTGTATTACACACCTATGACCATGTCCTCCGTTTTTCCTTTCGTGTCGACCCACAACATGATCCTAGGAGGTTTTCACCCTTGGATTTCTGCAACTGACCTCTGACATATGATGCAACTCCACCTCCCCTTTTGTGAGATCCCTTTCTTTTGAATCGTTTGTATCTTTCCATCAGTACATTCCAGTCATGAGTTTCATCCCACGAATTTCCTCTAATGGCAACGACATCACACTTGCCCTCTTACACTCGTATTTCACGTTCACCCTGTTTGTTCCCTAAACTGTGACCATTAGAGCATCTTTGCGGCGTCCTGTTCTCCTACTCTGCATCTGAGTTTTTCTTCTTTCCCTTTGCTCCCTTCCTCCTTGTAGGATTGGTTATCTGGGGGGTTTTGCTTGGAATTAGCTTCCAAAGGTTGTGAAGATTGCTCCCCCTCCCCCCTCATTTTTAACGTAAAGCCCTTGGGGGAAGATGAGCTACGGTTATTATCCAGATATCTTCTTCCCAGTTCTTGGGAGGTTCAGCCCATCCCTTGCCAGGAGCCCTTCGTGGAGGTAAGGCAGCCCAGGATCTCGGATAGGGGTCTCCAACCTTGGCAACTTTAAGCCCGGCGGACTTCAGCTCCCAGAATTCCCCAGCCAGCTTTGCTTAAAGTTGCCAAGGTAAACCCCAGGCTTAAGGATGCCGAGGTTGGAGACCCCTGGCTCTAGGAAACTGAGGTTCTCTTGATGACCCCAGTTAAAAATCCAGTAGTTCCTCTCTCAAAGGCTTTGCTCCCTCAATGCATGTTGGCCTTTTAGTGGGAAGGGAGTTGTTTGTTTTCTGCTTCATAATTTAAACAGTAAATTGTTCCAATGTAAGGAGCTTCTCTCCATCCTGGGGGCAGGACTACAGCCCCTGGGGCAGCCAAAGCAGAGCTAAGAGAAGTGACCCTTGCCCCCATGTAAAGTGAGACCTGGGTAGCTTGAAAAGCCGGTTTCCAGCCGCCTCCTGTGCCAAACAACTGGCACAAATTGTGGCTGATACGATAGTAAAGATCCAGTATCTGAGGGGCTGCCCCAAAGAAGAGGGGGATCCTGGATTTATGGAGGAACTTCCTGACAGCGAAAGCAATTAGTCAGCGGAACAACTTGCCACCAGAAGTTGTGGGTGCTTCATCCCTAGAGGCTTTTAAAGAAGAGATTTGTCTGGAAGGGCGAGAGTCCAACTTGGGAGCTTTAAGACTTGTGGGCTTCAACTCCCAGAATTCCCCATAGCTGGCTGGTTGGATTCCTAAGGCTGGAACAGGGTCTCCTGCTGGAGCTCAGCATTGGACGTGTGTAAGAAGAGATTGGACACCCCTGGTATAGGGTTGGAGCAGGAGGGTTGGGCTAGAGGACCTCCCAGGTCCCTTCCAGCTCTGCTTTTCCCTTCGTCCTTCCGAGGCCCCCCTGGCTGGTCCCAGGAGGGTCTCCGGCAGCCCAGCCCAGCCTTTCCCCCCCGCTCTTCCGCACCCTCCGTCCTCCCTTCCTGGCCGGGGGTCCGGGGAAGCCCCAGGACGGCTGGCATCCGCGGAGCCTCCCGGGTCAGTTCTCAGCCGGTTTCTTCCCGAGGGGCTTTTTTGGCCGGACTTTCTCGGCTGCCTCTGAAGCCCCTTTGGGGCAAGCAGGACCTGCATGGGGCAGAATCTGCGCGGACAAACCTGGTTGAGGGTTGCCTTTTGCGCTGCGCTTTTGCTCCGGGATTCTGATCCTGCGCGGAGCCATCGAAGTGGGAGGGGGGCTTATGGAAGGAAGGAAGGAAGGAAGGAAGGAAGGAAGGAAGGAAGGAAGGAAGGAAGGAAGGAAGGGAGGATGGATGCAATGCCCCCCAGGACCCCCCTTCCCCCCAGCTGACCTGTGATGAGCACCGTCTTGCCCCGCAGGCTGACCGCGTTCCTGCACCGGGTGGCGACCCCCAAGTAGTAGTAGAGCAGCGCGTAGAGCCCCAGCAGCAGCGCCGCCCCCGCCCCCAGCGCCCCCAGCGCCCCCAACGCCTCCATGGCCCGAAGTCCGCTGGACCCGAAGTCCGCCTCCGCTTCCCTTTTTATCTCCCAGGACCCCCCCCCCCTCACGTCGTCCCGCCCCCGCCTGGGAGAGGCATGGTCACCCGCAGAGCTCCCACCCTCTCGCCCTCCCTTCATCCCCTCTCGGGCTCGGAAGAAAGAAAGGAAGGGAGGGAGGAAAGGAAAGGAAAGGAAAGGAAAGGAAAGGAAAGGAAAGGAAAGGAAAGGAAAGGAAAGGAAAGGAAAGGAAAGGAAAGGCAGGCTGGCTCCTCAGGGGGAGATCTAGGGAGCAACTTCATGCTAGGGAGAAGAACTCATCGGTGGAAGGGCTTCCCTCCAGAAGCTGTGGGTCTCCATCACTGGAGGTTTTTAAGGAGAGACTGGACAGCCATTTGTCTAAAGTGGTATATAGCAGGGGGGAAATCCAAATTTGTTTACTACCGGTTCTGCGGGCGTGGCTTGGTGGGCATGGCAGGGGAAGGATACTGCAAAATCCCCATTCCCTCCCGACCACTGGGGCCAGCCAGAGGTGGCATTTGCCTGTTCTCCAAATTACTCAAAATTTCCGCTACCGGTTCTCCAGAACCTGTCAGAACCTGCTGGATTTCACCCCTGGTATGTAGGGTTTTCTGCCTGAACATAAGAGGGTTTTCGAATAGAATAACAGAGTTGGAAGGGACCTTGGAGGTCTTCTAGCTCAACCCCCTGCTTAGGCAGGAAACCCTACACCACTTCAGACAAATGGTATAAATTTGGCTAAAAGAACAGAAGAGAATACCAGAGTTGGAAGGGACCTTGGAATCTTCTAGCAATCAAATTTCTCTGGCATGATCTGTTTTTGACAAACCCATCTTGGCTTCGTTGCTTGATTATCTTTTCCAGAATCTTCCCAGGGATTGAGGTCAGGCTGGTAGGTCTGTAGTTTCCTGGCTCCATTTCCCCCCTTTTTTGAAGATGGGAACCACATCAGCTCTTTTCCAGTCCTCTGGCAGTTCCCCGGTGCTCCAGGATCTTGGAAAGATACAGTTCAGTGGTTCTGAGATCTCGTCTGCCAGGTCCTTCAGAACCTTGGGCTGTAATCCATCCCGTCCTGGTGATTTGAACTCACCTAGGGTGGACAGGTGCTCACTTACCATTTTCTTCCCTATTTTAACTTGTGTTCCTAATCTGTTTTTTATGGTGGTATTTTTGATAGGTTGGACTGGTTTTTCCCCTTTGTGTAAAGATGGACGCAAAAAATGTTCTGCTTTCTCCCTGTTGCTTGTCACCTTCTTGCCATTTTCTCCCATTGAAGCCTTTTTTGTTATTTTTGACTTGTGTCGCAAGCCTTAGTTCATTTTGAGCCTTAGCTTTCCTGACTTCATCATTGCAGGCTTGGGCTATTTGCTAATATTCTGCCTTAGTTATGTGCCCCTTTTTATATTTGTCCTTTTTTGTCTTTCAATTTCTCTTCCTGCAGCCATGCTGTTATTTTTCTTCTTCATTGGAATTATGCTAGACTGGGCTTTTATAATCTTACTTTTCAAAATTTCCCAAGCTTCTTGAATTGTTTTCTCCTTGAGGATTCTCATCCAGGGAATCTTTCCCAAGCTCTCTCTAAGTTTATTGAAATTAGCTCTCTTAAGGTCCTAGACTCTAGTTTGACTTGTGCTTGCATAATGTTGAATTCCAATCCTTCTATCATCTCATCTCTGTTAGTGAGAATTAAATCTAATATGGCTGACCCCCTAGTTCCCTTCTCTACTTTTTGGGAGACAAAGTTGTCTGCTAGGTTTGTCAGGAACCTGGTTGATCTCCCACCTGGTGCAGAGTTTGTCTCCCAGGTGATGTCAGGGTAGTTAAGTCCCCCATTACGATTGTGGTGTGCTTCCTACATACCTCAGTTAACTGACTGGCAAAAAGCTCATCGATTTCCTCTGTTTGGTTGGGTGGCCTATAGTACTATAGACCTATGGCAATGTCATATTTCACACCCAGACCCCATTTTTATATTGACCCAAATGCATTCAGGATGGTTTTCATCATTGTTCTGCTCTATTTCTGTAGAGATGTAGTTATTTCTTATATTTAGTGCAACTCCACCTCCTCTCTTATTTGGTCTGTTTCTTTTAACTAATTTAAATCCCTCTAGCTGTATATTCCACTCATGGGTTTCATCCCACCAAACTTCCGTAATGGCAACCATGTCATATCTGCCCCATTTACTTGAATTTCTAGTTCACCCGGTTTATTCCTCATACTTTGTGTATTGGTGTGTAGACATTTGACCCCGTGTCAGCTTTCCACCTAGCCTGTTTTGGGCCCTCCTGCCCCCACTTCCTTACCCCCTGCTTGATTAGTGCACGTGGTATGGCCCCCACTATCAAAACCTTGATTTTCTTTGACAGCAAGGTTGAATTTCTTAACATCTACGTTGGAAGACCTCCAAGGTCCGTTCCAACTAGAAATGGGAAGGCCTGGGGAAAAACTGCTGGAAAAATTGGGTGACTTTGGGCCAATCACCAGGAGACAGTGAGTTCCAGTCCTGCCTTAGGCATGCAAGCAAGGCATCCTCAGGAATAGGATGGGAGACCATGAGGAGAGGCCAGAAGAGGAGGGGGCAAGGGTATGGTGAGAGGGCAAGAGGGCTGCTGGGGTCCAAGTGCTAAGGCCGGACTCCCCTCAGATCAGCTTCCAACCATTTCCTTCCTTCCCTCCATCCCCATTCCTTCCCTCCCTCCTTCCTTTCTTCTCTCCTTCCCTCCCTCCTTCCTTCCCTCCTTCCTTCCTTCCCTCCCTCCTTTCTTCTCTCCTTCCTTCCTTCCTTCCCTCCATCCCCTTCCTTCCCTCCCTCCTTCCTTCCTTCCCTCCTTCCCTCCATCCTTCTTTCCTCCGTCCCCCTTCCTTCCTTCCTTCCTTCCTTCCTTCCTTCCTTCCTTCCTTCCTTCCTTCCTTCCTTCCTTCCTTCCTTCCTTCCTTCCTTCCTTCCCTCCCTCCCTCCCTCCCTCCCTCCCTCCCTCCTTCCTTCTCTCCATCCCCATTCCTGCCCTCCCTCCCTCCCTCCTTCCATCCCTCCCTCCTTCCTTCCCTCCTCCGCTCCTTCCTTCTTTCCTTGCTTGCTTCCTTCCTTCCTTGTCAGCCAGGAGGGGGGGCGAGAGAGTGGCTTTCCCACGCGGGGGCGGGGCGGGAGGCAGGGCGACGGGAGTGGCGTCCCGGGGAACGGGATAAAAAGGTGGGGGGGCTGCGGGGCCAGCGGACTTCGGGCCATGGAGGCGTTGGGGGCGCTGGGGGCGGGAGCGGCGCTGCTGCTGGGGCTCTACGCGCTGCTCTACTACAACTTCGTGGCGGCCACCCGGTGCAGGAACGCGGTCAGCCTGCGGGGCAAGACGGTGCTCATCACAGGTCAGCTGGGGGGGAAGGGGGGTCTCGGAGGGGGCATTGCCTTCCTTCCTTCCTTCCTTCCTTCCTTCCTTCCTTCCTTCCTTCCTTCCTTCCTTCCTTCCTTCCTTCCTCTCTTTCTCTCTCTTCCATCCTTCCTTCCTTCCTTCCTTCCATAAGCCTCCCTCCCACTTCGATGGCTCCGCGCAGGATCAGAATCCCGAAGCAAAAGCGCAGCGCAAAAGGCAACCCTCAACCAGGTTTGCCCCCGCAGATTCTGCCCCATGCAGGTCCTGCTTGCCGCAAAGGCGCTTCAGACGCAGCCGAGAAAGTCCGGCCAAAAATGCCCCTCGGGAGGAAACCGGCTGAGAACTGACCCAGGAGGCTCCGCAGATGCCAGCCGTCCCGGGGCTTCCCAGCACCTTGAGACCCCCCCCTCTTCCGAGCAGGTGGGGAAGGTCCGGATCCTCGCCCGAGGGGCGCAGGCAAAGGAGCTGCTTGGCCCCGAATGATAGCCAGGATAACAGAGTCGGAAGGGATCCTGAAGGTCTTCTAGACCAACCCCTGCTCAGGTAGGAGACTCTATAGTAGCTTTCCAGACAAAGGGCTGTCCGGTGTCTTCTTAAAAGCTTCTGGTGGCAAGCAGTTCCACTGGTTAATTGTTCTCCCTGTCAGGAAATTTCTCCTTCGTTCCAGGCTGAATCTCTCCTTGGTTAGTTTCCATGCGGTGCTTCTTGTCCTGCCCTCGGGGGCTCTGGAGACTGAGTTGTCCCCCTCTTCTTCTCTGTGGCAGCCCCTCAAGCATCAGGATGCTCCTATCACGCCAGCCTGTGACTTCTCTTGAGAGGTTGGTGCCAGGTGATTGGCAGAGGAGGGGTTTGGAAAGCAGCTTTTCAGGCTGCCCATGGCTCATTTTACGTGGAGACAGGAGTCCCTTCGCTTAATCCCTGACTCTGTTTTGGCCACCTCAAAGCTCTCGTCCTCCCACCTGAGATGGAGAGAAGCCGGGAGCAATTCAGAGAAGCTGCAAAAGCTGCAGAAAAGCCAGGTTGGCCTTTGAAGAGAGACTGGAGGAGCTGGGAAGTTTAGCCAATCAAAGGGCATGTTAAATGTTCCCGCAAAATGAGGCCAAGATCCAGGATCAGGGATGGCTGTTGCCAGCAGGCGGATTCCAATTAAATTAATGAAACAATTCCTGATGTTAAGAGCAATTACTCCAGAAACAGGAAAGTTTGGTCTTGTTGCGAAAGCACCAGGAAAGAAATAATGAGATGGTGAGTTCTAGTCCTGCCTTAGGCGTGGAACCCAGGCTAAAGGGACTAGAACTCACCATTTCCTGATGATTGGCCCAAAGTCATCCAGCTGGGTTTTGTGCCTAAAATGGGACTAGAATAGAATAGAATGAGCTGGAAGGGATCTTGGAGCTCTTCTAGTCCAGTCTTTTTGCGTGAAGACTGATGCAAAGAATGAGTTAAGCAGCTCTGCTTTCTCCCTACTACCTGTTACTTCCTTGCCATCTTCTCTCTTTAGTAGACCGATCATTTCCTTGACTTTTTTCTTGTTATTAATATGTCGAAAGAAAACTTTTTAAAAATTATCTTTGTTCTTCTGAGCCTTTGCTTTCCTGACTTCAACTTTGCATATCCTGGGTACCTGCTGATAATCAGTTAAGTGTCTCTCTCTCCATTTTTTGTACTTGTCCTTTTTGTCTTTCAGTTTGTCAGAGAGATCTTTGTGCAATCGTGCTGGTTTCTTCTTTGATTTCTTGTTTTTCTTTTGCAGTGGTATTGTGCTGGACTGGGCTTTTATGATAGCATTTTTCAGAGTTTCCTATGCTTCTTGAATTGTTCTCCCTTTTCATCCATGGAATCTTTCCTAGGCCCTCTCTGAGTTTGTTAAAATCAGCTCTTTTAAAGTTTAAGACACTGGTTGGATTATTTTGTATTGCTTGTGTTTGTGACTAAAACTTACTGTCTCCTGATGATTGGTCCAAAGTCACCCACTCTGATCCTTCCTATACTGAAGATAATTAAGGTGAGGTTATCCTGAGTTTATTTCTCACCTTGCCTGTGTAACCGCCTCTCTGAGTCTTTTTTGAATAGTTTTCTCCTTCCAGCCCCCCTTAATAGCAATTTCTCATCTTCTCCAACATCATTTTTTAGTCCTTTGAATTGGTTTTCCAACTTCATAATTATGTAATTAGGGATATTTGATCCTTTTTGTCCTTCAAAGTCACTTCTCACCTTGGAACAATTTATTATTTAAATTGTGAAGTGAAAAACAAACAACTCCCTTCCCAGCAACTGATAACAATTGCTATGAAGATTACTGTAGAGATAGTCCTTGACTTACAATGAAGACAATGGGGAGCAGAATTTCTGTTGTTAAGCAAGGCAGTTGTTAAGTGAGTCGTGCTTGATTTTATTATCTTTTTTGCCATGGTTGTTAAGTGAATCACTGCAGTTGTTAAGTGAATCACACAGTTGTTAAGCAAATATGTTTCTCCCTTGGACTTTGCTTGTCGGAAGCCAGCTGGCAAAGTCACAGACAGTGACCATGTGACTCCAGGATGCTCGAACTGTTGTAAAGACATACCGGATTCCAGATGTCTGAATTCTAATCACAAGACTGTGGAGATGCTATGACAGTCGTAAGTGCAAGGACCAGTCATGAGCCATGGTGGCGCAGTGGTTAGAGTGCAGTACTGCAAGCTACTTCTGCTGCCTGCTGGCTGCCTGCAATTTGGCAGTTGAAATCTCACCAGCTCAAGGTTGACTCAGCCTTCCATCCTTCCGAGGTAGGTAAAATGAGACCCAGATGGTTGGGGGGAAATACGCTGACTCTGTAAATCGCTTAGAGAGGACTACAAAGCACTGTGAAGTGGTATATAAGTCTAAGTGCTATTGCTATTTTTTCAGTGCTATTGTAACTTCAAATGGTTACTAAACAAAATGGTTGTCAGTTACTGGTGAACACGTCTACTTCTGAAAGCATGCTTAATTTGCAGCATTTTTGCCCAACTGCCTGAAACTTCTGTACAATCCTGTTGGTGTTCAGCAGAGTGATGGCGTGAGGGGAAAAACTGTCCCTGTGTCTAGTTGTTTTGGGATGCAATGCTCTCCAGCGCCATCTTGAGGGGAGGAGTTGAAACAGTTTGTGTCCAGGATGTGATATTTCCTCCGCCCTCCTTCTGACCCCCATAGTATACAGGTCTTCTATGAACGGCTTGTTGCAATCGTTATTTCTGCAGTCCTAAGTATCCATTGGAGTCTGTACCTGTCCTGTTTGGTGGCTGTGCCATACCAGACAGAAACGAAGATTAGTTAGCTACTCTCATTCCTATATGAGTGCAACGATTGGCCTTCAGATTGCTTTGTAACTTGTGTTAGTAAAGTGACATCCTGCAGAGCCAGTGGTGGGAGACCTGCGCCATCTTCTGGTCTGACAGAAGCACTGCATCCCATTTTCCTTAAATGCCTTTCTTTTTTTTAATTATTAAATTTATTTGCCACCCATCTCGGTACAAAGCGACTCTTTCAAAGACCACGTGGATGCTGCAACGGTCATAAATATGAAAAACAGTGATAAGTTACTTGTTTAGTGCCTTCGTAATTTTGAATGGTCAATAAATGAATGGTTGTAAATCAAGGACCACTTATATTGCCCCTAAATAATTTTAATCCATTCCTCTTTTTTGATACAAGACTGTTAGAGTTTAGGTAGTGTAACTATTATTATGAGATAAACCCAAGAGCAAAACACAGCACACAGAGCCTTTCGATAAATAACAATGGTTTTATCTACAGCTAAATATTTACAGACTTATACGCAGTGGTGGGATTCAAATAATTTAACAACCGGTTCTCTGCCCTAATGATTTCTTCTAACAACCAATTTGCCAAACTGCTCAGAAAGTTAACAACCAATTCTCCTGAAGTGGTGCGAACTGGCTGAATCCCACCACTACTTATACATGGTTAAATATCTTGTCATACAGCTACTCGCACACCGAGAACAATTGAGATACACGAGGAGAGAACATGAAGATAGTGCATGAGGAGAAGGAATGCCCTCTAACGGCTTATATAGGCAGCTTCTTACTCAGCTTCTTAAAGTGGCAGTAATCCTGCTGCCTCATTCCATTGCATCAGCTTCCAGTTGCCTCTGTTTACAACCTCTCATCAGCTTACAGCTATTAACTCTTCATACCCTGCCAAAGACTGCTCTGAAACAGTTGTGAAAATTGTGCCCTGAGCCAGGATTTCTCAACCTGAAATTCTAAGATGTTGCTTAACTTTAATTCTGGGAGTTGCCAAGGTTGAGGAAGACATGCTTCACTCTGCAACCATAAAAATTGCAGGCACACAGATGCAGGCCCGGCTTCTGGATCCCCATCAAAGTCTGGGCGATCTCGGTGAATCCTTTCTCTTCCTTTTCCTAGGGGGAAATGCAGGGATCGGGAAGGCCACTGCGGTGGATCTGGCCCGGAGAGGCGCCCGTGTTGTCCTGGCATGCCGCGACAAAGCAAGAGGAGAATCCGCCATGTACGACATAAGACGGGTAAGCGCCTGCCGCACGGTTCTCTCCGTCCCTCCGTTCTTCTGATATTCAGGTGTTTTCCTGGTGGTTTTTATTCATTTATTTAGCGTGTGGCATCTGCAGAGATCATGCAATCCCTGATATGCAACACGGATAAAACACACTATACGTACAAATGGAAATCTGTGTTTAAATGAAGCATCAACAAATACGTGTATATCCAATAGTAGACAATACAATAGACGAGATAAAATATTAAGTTACAGTAAAACTATGATAAAATCACTATAATATGGCGCCATAGCGTCACAATGGAATAGATGTTACATAGGTACTCCTCAACTTACATGAGTTCATTTAGTGACCATTCAAAGTTACAACGGCACTGAAAAAAGTGACATATGACCATTTTTCACGCTTACAAGAGTTGCAGTATTCCCCCACGGTCACGTGATCAGAATTCAGGCATTTGGCAACTGACTCGTATTTATGACGGTTGCAGTGTCCCGGGGTCCAAGCAAAGTCCATGGGGGAGCCATATTCCCTTAATAACCATGTTACTAACTTAACTTCAGTGATTCAGTTAACAAATGTGGCAAGAAAGGTTGTAAAATGAGACAAGACTCACTTAACAACGGTTCTGCTAAGCAACAGAAATTTTGGCCTCGATTGCGGCCATAAGTCGAGGACTACCTGTAATACCCTCACAGTGCACACCTACAGAGGTCCATCACCATCCTATTCTCCCACTGCAGATCCTCCCTGAAGTTGGACTCAAGCTCACCAATATCTATTCAAGCATTCTTTCCAGTTTTATAGTTTTATTACAGTTTTTATGTTGTTTTAAGTTTTGATTGAGAGTTGCCCAGAGTTGATTGTAAGATTGATGGCTATATACAGACAGTCCTTGACTTATGACCACAGTTGGGGCCAGAATTCCCATTGCTAAATAAGACGGTTGTTTTATGACCCAATTTTGTGACATTTTCTTGTCATGGTTGTTAAGCGAATCACTGCAGTTGTTTCGCGAATCACATGGTTGTTAAGTGAATCCAGCTCCTCCCCTTTGACTTTGCTTTTTCCGAATCTTCTTGGGACGATCTCAAATATTGATCACGTGACCCCAGGATGCTGTCACCATCATCGGAAATGATGCTGGTTGCCAAGAGCCCAAATTTTGATCACCTGACCCCTGGAGATGCTGCAATGGTCGTAAGTGTGAGGACCGGTCATAAATCACTTTTTTCCATTGGCATTGTAATTTTGAACAGTGACTAAACAAATGGTTGTAAGGACTGCCTGTATTTTTTTATTACACATCATCCAGAGAGATTGCACGTAGAGGAGCAGACCTACGCAGAAGGGGAGTCAACTGGGATCAACCTTTGAAGTTGCACCAGATCCCAAAGCTCAGGATTCCTTCTGCTCCTTTTCCAGGAAAGTGGGAACTCGGAGGTGATCCTGATGATCCTGGATCTGGGCAGCCTGAACTCCGTCCGAGCTTTTGCGCAGAGCTTCTTAGAATCGGAGCCCCGTCTGGACATCCTCATCAACAACGCAGGTGGGGGCAGAGCAGACCCTCCCCGGGGTCTCCAGAGGGGGAAGGAAGGGGGAAGATTGGGGGTGGGGGGGTTGTCCGGGAAGATTGTGACCATCTCTGGCATTTCTCTCCCTTGGGGGATTTGGCCATAACTCAAGAAGCAGCTCTCTCCCATTTGTGGTAGTTCATTTTTCCTATACCGCCTTTGTTGTTATTTTTACAAGGCGATGAACAGATCCAACACACCTACCTCCTCCTGTTTTCCTGAAAACAACAACCCTGTGGGGGGGGGGTTGGGCTGATAGAGAGACTGGCCCAAAGTCACTCAGCTGGTTTTGTGCCTAAGGCAGAACTAGCCTCCTGGTGATTGGCCAAAGTCACCCAGATGGCTTTCATGGCTAAGGCAGGATTTGAACTCATGGCCTCCCAGTTTGTAGGCTTAACCACTAGACCAAACTGACTTAACTGACTTAAAAAGCCTATTGCCTTAATCACTAGACCAGGGGTGTCAAACTCGATTTCATTGTGCGGCGCATCAGCATTGTGGTTGTCCTCGGGGGGGGGGGGGGGGAGGTCACAGCCGACTGGGCATGGGCCGGGTGGTGTAGCCAGCTTGATGTCACTTGTGTGGGGCGGGTAGTGTTGGGGAGGGAATCCAGGGATCTCCAGCAGGTGGGGCAGTGGGCGGGAGGCTCGTCCGGTGTGGGGTGGGGGGGTGGGGGGGGGGTGCTGACGCCGTCAGACAACATAGGGGGTGGGGCGGCTGGTGCCATAAACTGTCAGCCACCATGTGCTCACCACCCTTTGTGCATGGGGGGCGATGTTTTCTGGCAGCATCCGCAGCCTGGCGGCCCCTCAGCTGACGTGTTTTGCAGCTTCAGAGCCCTTTCCACCAAGCTGGCCATCACAGCAGCACACACTGCAGTGGCATCAGTGGGGAAGAGGCATGTGATGAGGACCGCTGGCACACTTCCTCCGTCCCACTGTCTGTTTTTGCTTGTGGCTGGAGAGCAGGTGGCCACTGGTCATCTTCTCCTTGACCCCCTCACGGGTCTTCCCCTCGGCCTGTGCATGGAACGTCTTCCCCTCATGCACCCGATGCACCTTGGCCCCGTCCTGGGCTGCCGCCACTGCTGCTCAGCAGACCCCCCCAAGCCCGAAGGAAGTGAAGCGACTGTTGTGGCTCCGTTACCTGAGCCTGTGTCATCTGCAGGAGAGGACTCCGAGAGTGAAGGAGAGGAGTTGGCAAGGCCTCCCTCTCCAGGACCCTCCTCTCTGGCAATGCCTTCGGTGTCCGCCGAAGGGCAAGAGATAGGGCAGGGGCCAAGCACGTCCACGCAGCCACAGATGGACAGTGATGATGGTAATGAGTCTTGGCTGGATCCACGCCAGCGTCACAGAGATAAGCGCGCGCAACAGAAGAAAAGCCGTGCCCGAGATTAGGCTGACCACACCCCACAGGATATAAAAGGGAGTGTGGTGGCCAGTCAAACCTTGTGACGAACAAAGCTGAAAGCTTCCACGCCATTCTGCATTGCCGAACTTTTTGCTACAGACTTTGCTGGATTATCTCTGGACTTGATTGACTCCGTAATTATTGAGCTGTTTCTTTTGATGTACCAGGAGTGGGGAGAAGTTATCTCTCCTCTTTGTAAATAATAAACTCTTGGCAGGCAGCCACTAGGTTATTGCCAAGTTCCGTTATCATAAGGAAAAGGATTTTGCCGGCTGGTTTGGTCTTTAACTCTTGAACGTCTGTTGGTGTGTGTGCGTGTGGTTGGGGACAGAACAGTGACCAGCTAAAAAGCCTGAGTAGAGATGGTGGAGCACGCCCAGGCCCAGCAGGCAAAAGGCAGCCACCGCGAGTGGGGATAGCTGGATCCCCATCGGTGCCACGGCCACGTGCTTCTCCCCCTCACTGCTGGGTCTGGGCGGATCCAGCTTTCCCTGTTTTGCCTGCTGGGTCTGGGCGTGCGCTACCACCTCGACGTGGCTTTCTAGCTGTCCGCTTCACCTCCTTCGTGTTGGGTGGACTTGGTGCTCTGCCTAACGGACCTGCACGAGCAGCTGGTGGCCTCGATGGTGGCAGTGGTGCCGAGGTGCATCGAGTGCGCGAGTGGAATGTGCTTCACACACGGACTAAGGGCAAGAACTGCGAGGGGGCCGAGGAAATGACCAGCAGTGACCTGCTTTCCAAATGCAAGCAAAAAAAGATGGGATGGAGTAGGAGGGCTGATGGAGTCCGGCAGCCGCCGCCCCACCCCCTGCCTCACCACGTGTCGCCCCCTGGTGGTGGCAGTAACCGGAGGCAGAGGTGCAGCGGGAAGCCATGCAATCCAGGCTGCAGAGCCCCTGCTCTCGGACAGGATTTTACAACCTTTTTTGAGGCAGTTGCAAATGAATCGATTGTTCACTATCAGGTGTTTTTGTTGAAAATTGCATTTTTGGACAAAAATGTTATAAATCACCATCACGTTGCCAAGGACCGGCCATCTGCTAAGCTCCCAAAATGCGATCGTGTGGCCACAAAGGGGAGGCACTGGAACTTTGGAACAGGGTCGTAATTGCGAACCCGTCGTAAGCCAAGGACTACATCTAATCCGCTTATTTTTCCGGCAGGGATCTTTCAGGCTGGCCAAACCGCTGATGGCTTTGACCGGGCCTTCCAGGTCAATCACTTGGCCCACTTCCTGCTGACCCACCTGCTCCTGGACCGGCTGAAGCGCTGCGCCCCGAGCAGGATCGTAATTCTGTCCTCGAGTGCACACATGTATGGGAAGATCGACTTTCGGACCATCCACAAACCGGCAGAAGGAATGTGGAAAGCTCTACGTTCATATGGCAACAGCAAACTAGCCAACATTCTCCACGCGAGAGAATTGGCCAACCGGCTGGAAGGAACCAACGTCACCTGCTACGCGCTTCATCCGGGTGAGTGGAAGTCCGGCTCCAAGGCGCCCAGATGGAGCCCCCACCAGGTCCAGATGGAACTCCGCTAAGCATTTCTCTCCCACTGGGGGCTCCCTTGACCCCCTCTGCAGAGACACCCTGGGAGCTTCCTCCATCAGGCTCAGCTAGGGAGGGAGACATCTCCCACCTTCCTGGGTTCAGAATCCTAGAATCTTAGGGAAGGGTCCTTGGAGGTCTTCTAGTCCAACCCCTGCCTAAGGCAGGGATGAGGCTTTCCCCAGTCTCTTGCTCTTCTTTGTCTTCTCCCTTCTGCCTTTTCTGTTCCTTCCATCCTTGCTCCTCCCTTTGCTCCTCCTCCTCCTCCTCCTCCTCCTCCTCCTCCTCCTCCTCCTCCCCCTCCTCCTCCTCCTCCTCCTCCTCCTCCTCTTCCTTTTATTCCTCCTCCCCTTTCTCCTCCTCCTCATCTCCACAAACCCATTCCCTTTTAGCATTAAATTACCCAATTTTGTAATAAAACATCTGCAAGAAAACGAGGAAACTCAGAGAGCACCAAGGACCCTACAGTCCTCCTCCTTCTCCTCTTCCTCTTCCTCCTCTTCACAAACCTCACTCCCTTCTAGTACTGATGATGTAACCCAGTTGGGGGATGAAACTTCAACACTTCAATACTTCAACCCTGAGCTACAAATACTCTATCAGAACATTATTATTTAATGTTATTTGCTTGTATTAGCCACCCCACTCCAATGGATTCATATGTTCAAAGCAGCATGCATGCTCTCTCTCTCTCTCACACACACACACACACAAAATCACATACACATACACACCATTTGCACTCAATGTCAGCTGTTGGTGTTCTGAAAAATTTTCTGTGTTGTCCAAATGACCCATGATTCTTGGGGTGCGGGTGGGGGAAGAGGTGCTGTGCGAAGGGTTCATACAGGATCTCTCCCCGTCCCCATCTGGGCAACTGGAGCAAGTTGGAGTATTTGTGCAAGTATTTGAATGTTATGGGGTCCTTGGTGCTCTCTGAGTTGGTGGCTTTCCTGCAGATGTTTTATTACCCAACTAGGAAACAGAATTATCAGAATTGGCAGATTTTAGGACAGATTGAAATGTCAGATGCCAGGAGCCGATGGGATGAATCCATAATGGTACCAGATCCAGATATTCCTTTAAGTCCTATTTTTTTAAATTTCCTTTTGCACTTCAGTAGAAAACAAGCATTCCTGCCAGTCCAACAGACCAAGTGAAGTCTTTTCACCCTGCATTATCAGAATTATTTTCGCCCTGCATTATTAAAAATTATGAAAGGCCGAAGGAAGGATTCGTTCAGAAGGACTGAGCTAAGTCTCTTGGTCTGTCGCCTTCCAGCCCATCCTGGGCATGGAGGATCCTGGCAGCCGGAAGGCCAGTAATCATGGCCTGAAAACAGGATGGTGGGGAATGGAAGGATTTATACTCCTTTTTTTTTTTTTAATTTGATTTATATGCCGCCCTTCTCGGAGACTCAGGGCGGCTTACAATGCGTCAAGCAATAGCCTTCATACTTTTGTATCTTTATACAAAGTCAGCTTATTGCCCCCCATAAACTGGGTCCTCAATTTACCTACCTTAGAAAGGATGGAAGGCTGAGTCAACCTGAGCCTTGGAGAGATTCGAACCAGCAGAAATTGCAGGCAGCTGTGTTAATAACAGGGTGCACTAAATCACTGTACTATCAAGGCTCTTGCAGACAGCTGGTTGTTTGCATCCTTTTAGAGGGTCGTTGAGGCCGCTTGGAGGTTTACCTGTGTCCTCAGGGTCACCTGAGTGGTGCAAATGGGGGTGGAGCCTTCCTGGTTGCAGGATGTTTTCTGCTCTGTGTCATCATCCTTCAGCCAAGAAGGCTCCACATCCATTTGCACCACTCAGGTGACCCTGAGGACACAGGTAAACCTCCAAGTGGCCTCAACGACCCTCTAAAAGGAAGCAGATGTCCAGCTGTCTGTAAGGAATATAAATCCTTCCATTCCCCACGATCCTAACAAAGCTGAAAAAGTTGCCCCAAGGCTGCCAAAGTGGCAACGCGGGTTGTGCGAAGGGTTCATTTGGGATCTTCTCCATCAGGGTCACCCTGGAAGGTGCTTCCTTCCATCCTGGGCCGTTCACGCAACCAACTCTCTTTTGCTTTCAGGATCTGTTAGAACCGAACTTGGTCGCTCTTTTCCACGGTGGGTATTTCGGGTGTTTGGGTTCATGAAGCTGTTCAGACGAGATTGCGACGCTGGTGCCCAGACCTCCATCTACTGCGCCACCGAGGAGGGCATCGAGAGGCTGAGTGGGTGGTATTTCGTGGACTGCCAGCCGAAGGTACCCTGGCCACAAGCCCGTGATGACCAGCTGGCCAAGAAGCTCTGGGAATTCAGCGAGAGGCTGGTGGGACTGACCACTTAAGACGGGAAGGGACCGAGACGGAGTTTGGGGTAACCGAAAGCTGGCATCCAATTTAACCTGGAAGATCAAACTGCAGGGAATCTGGAAACTTCCCAGAGGTTGTGGTGTGGCAAGTGAGACAAGTGTTGAATTTCCGAGAATTTAAAAAACTGGAAAGCATTGTGGGGTTTTGTTCTGGAGAGTTTCTCAGCATTGGCCGTAAGAATCTTTTAAATAAAGAAACAGACTCTTTCAAGTTGTCGGTCTCTCTTTTCTCCATCAGTACTAGAAGGGAGGGGGGTTTGCTAGGAGGAGGAGGAGGAGTCTTGCACACATTTCATGAGCCAACTTTTAGTGGTCTGTCAGCCACCGGCCCCTCCAGCAGCTGAATCAGAGGAGGAGGAGGGGGGGGAGTCAGAGTCAGCATCAAAGCAACCTGAGAGCTCCAAGGGGGAAGAGGGAGAGGAGCTGGCAGAGAGAGAGAGGGGGGGGGGGGCAGAGCCTGGGCTGTCCATCAGCCCTCAAATGGGCCGTCAACAGCCCCCAGGTCTGGAGGTGGCTGATGAGGAAGAGGAGGAACAGCTGAGTCCAGTGCCTGGCGCGTGAATGCACAGAAGACAAAGTAGAGGAGAGAAGTGGAAATCTGTGGGCCGGTCCTCAGGACAGAAGAGCCAGTTCTGCTAGCGAAGCCCCATCCTAGCTCTGGGGATAAAAGGCAGGGGGCGGAGATGAATAGAGGTGGCAGACAACTATTCATCTCCCTGCCGGACCGACTTTTTAACCTGGGTGAGAGAGAAACTTTTGGGCGGGGCTGCTGGCGCTCCTAATAAAGGAATCGTTGATTGATTACAGAGGGTTTGTCATGTTTGGGGAGCTGGGTCAGAACACAACTAGGTAATGTCATCAGTGTTAGGAGGGAGTAGGGTTTTTGTGACCCCCCCCACTTCCCCCCGCTTTTGGCACGCGATGGCAAAAAGGTTAACCATCCCTGCCCTATAAGGTCGTTTAGAGGGGAGGAGTTGAAAGAGTCTATGTCCAGGATGTGAGAGGTCTGCAGATATTTTCTCAGCCTTCCTTCCGTCCTTCCCGCAGGGAGAACATTCTTGATGTGTGGGGTCTTTTTATGACAAAGATAGATGGTGTCATATCCATCCCCGTCGGCATACATTAAAATGAAATTTCGTTGCATACAGCTCTCAATGGGTCACCACCACCAATAGACACTACATAAAAATATGACAACATACATACATACATACATACATACATACATACATACATACATACAAAATTATGGATATATCCACGTATATTATATGTCACAGAGAAACAACACAGTCCAGTTTGGATGTATACATTTACATGGCAAGAAAAATGAATCTTGCAAGTTTAGCAGATGGATGGCGTAGGGAGCAAAGCTGTTACAGAATCTGGGAGTCCTGATAGAAATACTTCGAAACCTCCTTCCAGAGGGGAGCAACAGAATCAGACCGTAAAGTGGGTGGGTGGGGTGTCTAACAATGCTTTGAGCTCTAAGCGCATCACACTTATAAACAGTATCCTGAGTGACAGGAAGCCAGCTTCCTATAATCTTCTCCACTGTCCTCACCACTCTCTGTAGGGACTTTCTATCTGAGCTGCTGCTGCCCCTAAACCAAACATGAATGCGGTTTGTTAAAACACTCTCCATTGTGCCTCTGTAAAAAGTGGCCAGGACAAAAGGAGAAAGATGTGGTCTCCTCATCCGACACCGGAAATGCAGACCCTGGTTTGCATGCTTCACTAAGGATAACGTGAAGAGAGACCAATTCAGATTGTTAGTTATCTGAATCTAACAATCTAAGATAACTAACCTTTCAAATGCAGATGGACTGCTGAATCGTGTCCTGATGGGTATGTTGTGTCATGATTTTGTGAAGTGGTTGTTTTGTTTCTCCAATGTACAGATCTGTACAGGTCTCACTGCTTTGTACTGCATATATCACATTGTTCAGTTTGTGTCGGGATGCTTTATCTTTGGGGTGGACAAGCTTTTGCCTTTATTTTCAGGTTTAAAGTGTGTATGTATATTGTGTTTTGAAAACCTTCCTGAGATTTTCAGATATTTGTACAATGTATGGAATGACAACATTGCTTCGTTTGTTGTTCTCTTCTTTGTCTGTTATGGAGGAGCTCCTGCTGTGTCTTTTTTTGGGGGGGGGGGAATTTGATGAAGGGCCAGTTGTGGTCGTAGGTTGAGGACTACCTGCAAGACTTCTGTCTTCCTTAATGTGTACTACACGCTACAGGAAAGTCAGACTGTTTTCCTCGTCATCTTCTTGTCTGAACATAATTTACTTGTCCACAAGGTCGATGTGTTTGGTGAAAACTTTCACATCCTGTGTTTTAATCTTGACTCACCTGTTAGCTACATACCTATTTCAGTGAGTCCTTCCTTCTCATTAGGTGGCCAAAATATTTGAGTTTCATCTTCAGGATCTGGCCTTCTCAAGAGCAGTCAGGGTTGATCTCCTCTAGGACTGACCGGTTTGATGGCCTTGCAGTCCAAGGGACTCGCAGGAGTCTTCTCCAGCACCAGAGTTCAAAGGCCTCCATTCTTTGGCCTTCTCAGCCTTCCTTATGGTCCTGGAGAAGAGCTAATGCTGGGAACGATGGAGGGCAAAAGAAGAAGGGGACGGCAGAGAACGAGGTGGCTGGATGGAGTCACTGAAGCAGTCAGCGTGAGCTTAAATGGTCTCCAGGGGATGGTAGAGGACAGGAAGGCCTGGAGGAACGTGGTCCATGGGGTCGCGATGGGTCGGACACGACTTCGCAACTAACAACCACAAATTTCAGTGAGTGGCTGGAGTCCCTGTGAAAGAGCTTAAGGCTTTGATTTCTCCCTCTTCTGTGTAGATTGGACATGATGGGGTGCAGCTGTGGTTTTGTCTGTCAAAACTTTCGTTGTAGTTGAAATAATGCAGGTGGTGACCTGGCTACCTATTTCAAATACAAACGGTAGCCGCCTAGAGTTGGGAAAGTTGTTCTTTAGAGAAAGCAAGACAGGTAGGAGACCGACTGTCGCGATCCACTCGACATCTCGCCCCGCTGCTACGGCCATGGACTCACGCTACGATCACGGGCTCAACCGCTCCAGCTGACGGTGGCGTCGACGGGGGGGGGGGTTTGGGCGTCGGAAGCTATCTACGCTGCTACACGGTGGTGGGGTGTTATTTGAGGCGGTCGGTCACGGTGGCGGCCGGGGAGAGGGAGTATTGTTTACCTTCCTGCTGTAATGGGACGGCAGCCGGCGGCGCATGCGCAGGAAGCCCGGAAGGGCGATGGTCTTAACTACCATGCCGGCACGCTATTTAAAAGGCGTTGGGAGGCAGCCGCTCCCAACGCCGACTTTATGTGTATTCGTATACCTGCAGCTTTGCCGTGCGGCGTGTGAAGGCATAGTGAATAAAGAAGTTGCATCAGCTTAGGCTCCATGTGCTCCTTTTGCTTTGCTAACACGGAACCGCAACGCATCGGTGACACCGACTTGTTTGACCTGTGGTGCTGGAGAAGGCTGCTACGTAGGCCCTGGACAAGCACAGGGGATTAACAAGCAAGTGCTGGAGGGCATTAACCCCAGACGTGTCACTGGAAGGCAAAATCACAAAAACTAAGCCTCACTTGTTCTGGCTGTCATGCAGGGGAATTCACTGGGGGAAGCAATTGTGTTGGGAAGAGGGAGCGGTAAAGGCAGAAACTGGGCCGCCAAAGAACACGGGGACTGGACACCATCAAAGCTGATACTGGCCAGAGCATGGGACAACTGGAAGAAGTAATGCAAGATTCGAAGATGTGGAGAGATCTGGCCAACAGAATCGCCAAGAGCCTGTCACAGAATAACAGAGTTGGAAGGGATCTTGGAGGTCTTCTAGTCCAACCCTCTGCTCAAGCAGGAGATTCCATGCCACTTCAGACAAACGGCTGTCCAGTCTCTTTTTGAAAGCCTCCAGTGATGGAGCACCCACAACTTCTGAAGGCCAACCATCCATCGATTGCTTTCACCATTAGGAGGAAATTTCGCCTGAGTTCTAGGTTGCTTCGCTCCTTGGTTAGTTTCCATCCATTGTTTCTTGCCTTCTGGTGCTTTGGAAAGTAGATTGTCCCCCTTATCTTTGTAGGAACCCCTCAAATATTGGAAGACTGCTATCAGGTCTCCCCTAACCCTTCTTTCCATTAGACTAGCCATGGCAATTCCTGCAACTGTTCTTCGTATGTTTTAGCCTGTAGCCCCCTAATGTTGAGCCTGGATAGCTCAACAGACTAAACACTGTAATTTAACACCAGCTGTCTGCAATTAAAAGTAAGTTCGAATCTCACCAGGCTCAAGGTTGACTCAGCCTTCCATCCTTTCTAAGGTAGGTAAAATGAGGACCCAGATTGTGGGGGCAATAAGCTGACTTTGTATAAATATACAAAAGCATGAAGGCTATTGCTTAACGCACTGTAAGCTGCCCTGAGTCTCCGGAGAAGGGCGGCATATAAATAAATCAATCAATAAAAAATCATTCTGGTTGCTCTTCTCTGCACTCTTTCCAGAGTCTCGGCATCTTTTTTATATCGTGGGGATCAGAAGTGGATGCAGTGTTCCAAGTGTCTCTCCAAGGTGTTATAAAGCGGAGCTAGTACTTCATGTGATCTTGATTCTATGCCTCTGTTTATACAACCAGGGACTGTATTAGCTTTTTTGGCTGCTCTCGCGCAGGGCTGGCTCATATTCAAGTGATTGAGCCAGGTCTCGCCTAATCTGTATTTATACCTTTGATTTTTCCCTGCCTACATGTAAAACTTTGATTTCCTCCACATTGAAATTCATTTTGTTGGAGAGGACCCATTGTTCAAGTTTGTCAAGATCTTTTTGGCTCCTGAGCTTGTCTTCTGGGGTGTTGGTGATTCCTGGCAATGCTTTGAAAATGCTTTGAAAAGCCTCTGCCCATCAGGCAACTCAGCTGGGATTGTCAGAGACTTTTCAAAGCATTTTTTTTACCACCTCTTCGGCCAAGAGGTTGCAGGTTGGAGAGAAGCAACCTGGAATTGAGGAGGAATTTCCTAACAATGAGAACAATTCATCAGTGGAACAACTTGCCTCCAGAAGTTGTAAATGCTCCAACACTGGAAGTGTTTAAGAAGAGAACGGACAACCATGTGATGCACTTAACGCTTAACCATGGCAAAAAGACATGAAATTTGGCACAATTCACTTCACAACTGCCTGGCTTA